CCGCCGGCTGCTGCTGCTGCTGCTGCTGCTGCTGCTGTTGCTGCTGCTGCTGCTGCGGGGCCCCGAGCCGCCGGCCTTACGGATCACGGGGGAATAGGACACGTGGTGGCCGGGGGGTGGAGGGGGTCTGGGGGAGCTGGCGGCGTCCCCGCCGTGGAGTGCTGGTACCAGATGTTGAGGGGGCTGGGCTTCCACTTACGGAACTACTGCCCTACACGAAAATTGAAACAAAGGAAATCAAAAAAAGATACAACAAAATCAACCAGAAGGAGACAGGAGGAGACACAGAGGACGGGAGGGTGGGGGGCGGGGCGAAAGAAAATCAAAGGAGGACAGGAGAGGGACCAGGAGGAGGAGGAGGAGGAAAGGGGAACACGGGACATTTGAATGGAAAAAAAGGAGAAAAGCAACAGCCACGAGAGGAGGAGGAGGAGGAGGGGAGGAGGGGGAGAGGAGGGAGGAGGGGGAGTGAGAGACAAGGAGGGAGGGGGAAATCGAAAACCAACACAACAAAGTGAAAAGAGAAATGAGAAATGGAGTTTTGTAAGTTTCGGGGTTAAAATAGCAGAAGTTTCAAAAATTACTCACAGGCGTCCAGAGGACAGAAATCATAATCGAAACAAAAAACGGAAGCCGGGTTAAAGGAAAGCAAAAGGCAGCAGGTAGCCAGCGGGGGCGTGAGTCGTAAAGACCACGCTGGCCATAAACTCAAACGTGATCCACAACCAAAGAGGAAGCAGCTGCGGGCAGGGAGCAGGTTGGGGGGGGCAGGGGGGCTGGGGGGGCAGAGTGGGGAGCCAGAGTGGCAGGGGGCAGTGTCCCCCCACTGCTGGAGCCCCCCCACAGGTCGGGGAGCCCAGCGGTGGTCAGGGTCAGAGGTCACAGCAGAAGTGGGGACCCTGCCCATAGTGGCTGTGGGGTGTGGGTCCCCCCACCTCTCCCCGACCCCATGGGCTCAGGTCAGGGGTGCCTCCTGCCACACCCACCTGCCGGTGTGCCATGTGCTCTCGGCCCTCACTGGGTGAGCGGGACCAGCGCTGGTCCCGGGCCCGGGCCCGGCCATGGTCAGGCCGCTCCTGACCATAGCGCTCCTTGTCGGGGGGTGGTGGGTGGTGGTGGTGGTGATGATGGTGGTGCTGCCGATGCTTCCGGTCCTTGGGCCGGCCCCGCTCCTGGTCTCTTTCCTTTGATGGCAGGTCCCCAGACTGGGTGGTCATACTCAGGTCTGTCCCCAAGCCTGGGCCGGATGGAGTCAGACAGACAGCTGTGAGGGAGGGGTGGCATGGGATGTGCACAAGGGAGGCCACTAAGGGAGTCTGCAGGCCCTAGAGAGGGATTCCTTCCCTGGGACCAAGGACAGCCTGGTGGGTATTGCGAGGGGGGCCGGTCCCCAGGCTCCAAGCAGCCCGGTCCCTGTGATCCTGTCCAGGCCTTTCCTTCCTCTCTCCCTCAGTATGTCCTTGTCCTTGCCTCCTCCTCCGATCTCCCCTCCTCTGTCTCCTTATACAGCCTCCTGTGCCTGGGCCCTGTAGGGCGACCCACCTGTGTCCACGTCCGTGTAGCGGCCCAAGGAGCGCTCCGAGGCGCGGTGGCTGCGGTCTCTGCGCCGCTGGTGGTGCCGCTGATTCTCCTCGGGCGGCACCCTCTCCAGGGAGTAGTCATCTAGGCGCCGGGCCTTGGGGCCCAGCACGGAGGCCGAGCGCTTCATAGGGCTGGTGTCCGAGATGGTCTGGGGGGGACAGGCCGGCAGGCCGGGGTCAGCAGCTGGCACCAAGCAGTACCAGTCTGTCCTGCCCCATTGGCCATCAGTGACCAGGGTGTAACCATCCAGGGGTGGGGTCCGGGGGGCCGTGGGCCTCAGCTCCTGACCAACCAGGGTCCCAGGACTCCTCTGTCCCTTCCCAGGCTCCTCCTGGGTTCTGGCTGTGAGTCCCCATCTCTCTACCTCCTGCCAGGACGGGCAGGCCAGCTGAAGGGCAGAGCTTCCCCATCCAGAGTGCAAACCTGGAGCCTTGGGCACCAGGCAGCACAGGCCTGCCCTCGCCCTGCATGTGTGAGGAGCATCGCTGTCAGGCTGACAGGCCCAGGCCCAGGGCCAGGCACCCAGCACTCCAGCTCACTGTCCTCCTTGGCCAGCTGGGCGTGGACTTACTGCCCACCTGAGTCTGGCTTCTGTAAGGAGCCCTTGCGGGGCTGCCCTGGCATCTGAGACCCCGGGGGAACTGCCTTTCTCCTCCTTGGCCTTCATTCTGGGAGCCCACATGTGCTGCACCCCCAGGTCAAGCCCTGGAGAGAGGGGGCCTGTGGTTCTCTGCAGCTGAGGGAGGAGAGGAGGAAGACAGGGCAGATGTCTCCCAGGGCCTGGCCCAGCAGAGGGGCCGGCGGCACTGCTTGAGGCAGGAGTTTCAAGGGACACGGGGCTGCAGGACCAGAGGTTCAGGGGTGCTGTCAGGGGAAAGAGCCCCCTGAGAAACAGTGGGCCAAGCAGGGCTGCAGGTCAGGCTTCTTGGAACAATGGAGCCTCTGGCTTGGGGGCTCTGATGAGAAGAGGGTGGTGGAGAGGGAGGGAGGAGGGGAGTGGGGCAAGGTGAACCCCCCCCAGGTCACACGTGGGGCACACAGAGAACACAACACATGAGGATGGGGCTCCACGGGGTGGGGAGTGTGTGCAGTCTTGCAAAGAAAGGGTGGGGTCCGAGAACAGGGAGAGATGACAGGACTCCCAC